GACTCTTTCGATGATTAACAAAGACCCTTATTTTTTTTGCATAAAATCTTGAATAACCATGTAAAAAGTATTATTTGGACAAACAGCATAATTAAAATATAAAATAAAAAGAAGCACGACATATTTGTGTCTTTCCACTGGACACCTTGGTCACAGACATAAGTAAAGTCACCTGTACTAGCCACAAAATTCTTCGGTTTGTGGCCAACCAGCCTCTGAAATCTCAATAACCAACAAGGCAATAGTAATAGTAATACATTCACATTAAACATTCAACATTCTCGTGTATCAAAGTCACTTTTAAGTTACATGCTAGTACTGTACTATTGCTACTAACAAGTAACAACTCACAACATACCAACCCCATGTTGTAAAACTAGTAGCATCATACATTAACATTACACGTACAGTAAATTTCTTTGACTGTTATCATGGTGTAATTGTTTATTATCTATCAGAGTGGCTCATTAAAAAAAATAGGAGTTGGTAAGGGGGTGGATCCACATCCACCGCTTCTGCACCAACTCATCTCAAGCTTCAACAATGACTATGAGTCAATGATTGATTGATAAATAAATGGTAATTGTATTTAGTTTTCAAAAAGTAAATAGTTGAACCAGAATTCATATATATATATATTTACAAAATTCCCTCTTTTTAAGATAAGAGAGGAAGGATGAGTGATGAGTGAGTTACAGTTTGGGGGACTCACTCTTTGTACCCTTCACCAACACTCTTCTCACTCTTCCACACCCAAAATGCGTTTCCTCTATCTTCTTCTTCTCCTTCTCCATTTTCATTATCACCAAACCCTATCTGCGCCAATATCAGAATACCGCGCTCTTCTCTCTCTCCGTTCAGCCATTACCGACGCCACTCCACCTGTCCTCTCTTCATGGAACGCCTCCACCACTTACTGTTCTTGGCTCGGTGTCACCTGCGACAGCCGCCGCCACGTCACCGCCCTCAACCTCACCGCCCTCGGCCTCTCCGGCGCCCTTTCAGCCGACGTCGCTCACCTCCCGTTTCTCACCAACCTCTCCCTCGCGGCTAACCATTTCTCCGGCCCCATCCCTCCCTCCCTCTCCGCTGTCGCCGGCCTCCGCCACCTCAACCTCTCCAACAATGTCTTCAACGGCACCTTCCCCTCCGAGCTCGCGCGCCTCCAGAACCTCGAGGTCCTCGACCTCTACAACAACAACATGACCGGCGAGCTCCCCCTCGCCGTCGCCGAGATTCCCACCCTCCGCCACTTGCACCTCGGCGGCAACTTCTTCTCCGGCCAGATCCCGCCGCAGTACGGACGCTGGCCCCGCCTCGAATACCTGGCCGTCTCCGGCAACGAGCTCGACGGAAAAATCCCACCGGAGATCGGCAACCTCACCAGCCTCCGGGAGCTTTATCTTGGATATTTCAACACCTACGCCGGCGGCATTCCGCCGGAGATCGGGAACTTGTCGGAGCTCGTGAGGCTCGACGCCGCCTACTGCGGCCTCTCCGGCGAGATCCCGGCGGAGCTGGGGAAGCTGCAGAAGCTGGATACGCGCTTCCTCCAGGTGAATGCCCTTTCGGGGTCTCTCACGCCGGAGCTGGGGAACCTGAAGAGTCTTAAATCAATGGATTTGTCTAACAACATGCTCTCCGGTGAGATTCCGGCGAGCTTTGGCGAGCTGAAGAACATGACGCTTCTGAATCTGTTCAGGAACAAGCTTCATGGAGCAATACCGGAGTTTATAGGGGAGCTTCCGGTTTTGGAGGTGGTGCAACTGTGGGAGAATAACTTCACAGGTAGCATTCCAATGGGTTTGGGGAAGAATGGAAGAATCACTCTTGTTGATCTTTCTTCTAACAAATTAACTGGAACTTTGCCTCCTAACTTGTGTTCTGGGAACACTCTTCAAACTTTGATAACTCTTGGAAACTTCTTATTTGGTCCAATTCCTGAATCTCTTGGAAGTTGTCAATCCCTGAACCGGATTCGAATGGGAGAGAACTTTCTGAATGGTTCCATTCCGAAGGGTCTTTTTGGACTTCCAAAACTCACGCAGGTTGAGCTTCAGGATAATTATCTCTCTGGAGAGTTTCCTGAGGCTGATTCTGTTTCTGCTAATCTTGGTCAGATTACTCTCTCTAACAACCAACTCTCTGGGCCTTTGCCTCCTTCCATTGGTAACTTTTCCAGCGTGCAGAAGCTTCTTCTTGATGGCAACATGTTCTCGGGTTGGATCCCTCCTCAGATTGGGAAGTTGCAACAGCTTTCCAAGATTGATTTTAGTGGCAACAAGTTTTCGGGTACTATTGCGCCTGAGATCAGTCATTGCAAGCTGTTAACCTTCCTTGATCTTAGCCGCAATGAGCTCTCTGGGGAGATCCCAAATGAGATCACTGGCATGAGGATTTTGAATTACCTTAACCTTTCGAGGAACCATCTTGTGGGTAGCATTCCCTCCTCGATATCCTCGATGCAGAGTTTAACTTCTGTTGATTTTTCCTACAACAATCTGTCTGGTTTGGTGCCTGGTACTGGTCAATTCAGCTACTTCAACTTCACGTCTTTCTTGGGAAACCCTGACCTGTGTGGTCCCTATTTGGGTGCTTGCAAGGATGGGGTTGCCAATGCTGCTCACCAACCTCATGTCAAAGGACTCTCCTCTTCTCTGAAGCTGATTCTCGTTGTTGGGTTGCTTGCATGTTCCATTATTTTTGCTGTGGCTGCAATATTCAAGGCTCGCTCGCTGAAGAAGGCTAGTGAGGCTCGCGCATGGAAGTTGACTGCGTTCCAACGTTTGGACTTCAGTGTTGATGATGTTTTGCATTGCTTGAAGGAGGATAATATTATAGGGAAAGGAGGTGCTGGCATTGTCTACAAAGGGGCTATGCCCAATGGGGATCAGGTTGCTGTAAAGAGGCTTCCGGCTATGAGTAGAGGCTCTTCCCATGATCATGGGTTCAATGCGGAGATTCAGACATTGGGGCGAATCCGACACAGGCACATTGTTAGGTTGTTGGGTTTCTGTTCAAACCACGAGACAAACCTTTTGGTCTACGAGTACATGCCCAATGGAAGTTTAGGTGAGGTTCTTCATGGAAAGAAAGGGGGTCATTTGCACTGGGACACCAGGTATAAAATTGCGGTGGAGGCTGCTAAGGGGCTTTGCTATCTTCACCATGATTGTTCTCCACTCATTGTCCATCGTGATGTGAAGTCAAACAACATCCTTCTTGATTCTAATCATGAAGCACATGTTGCTGATTTTGGGCTTGCCAAGTTCCTCCAAGATTCTGGGACATCTGAATGCATGTCTGCTATTGCTGGCTCATACGGATACATTGCTCCAGGTACCCTTCAATTTCGACATAATTAATGAATTTCATACATGGTTGTGTCAAATTTCCTTTTCCCGCCCGATAATAATTGCACGTTTAATCATTGTTCAGAATTTGACTCTTTGACTAGTCATCATGGTTTAGGTGTAGACTGTTGATATTGAGATGATGGCTCTTAATTAATTAACACTTCTATGTGGTTTTTTCTAGACTTTGTTTTCTATATCTCACATAAATGATCTCTTGATTCGTTCCCGAATAATCTATTTATTAGCCAAGGTACTGAAAGTAAATGGTAGGTAGCTCTGAAGCGTTTGATTTTTTTACTATAATTCCACCTATGGGTGGATAAATACTGTAGTCGTATAGGTTAGAGTCATTCAAAATGAGAAACCGGTGGTTATTGGCAAAATACCAGATAAAATAAACTAATTTATTACCTTACATATGTTGCCTTTGCTTCACTTATCGTTTCTAATTAAGGTGTCCACTTTATTTTAGTTAATAAAATACTTGTTTGATGTTTGATTACAGAATATGCCTACACATTGAAGGTTGATGAGAAAAGCGATGTGTACAGTTTTGGTGTGGTTCTTTTGGAACTTATAACAGGCAGGAAACCAGTTGGAGAATTTGGTGACGGTGTGGACATTGTGCAATGGGTGAGGAAAATGACGGACTCTAACAAGGAAGGTGTTCTTAAAGTTCTTGATTCTAGGCTTCCCTCGGTTCCCCTTCACGAAGTGATGCATGTTTTCTATGTAGCCTTGCTGTGTGTTGAAGAACAAGCTGTAGAGAGACCTACTATGCGAGAAGTTGTTCAAATTCTAACAGAGCTTCCAAAGCCGCCCGACTCTAAAGAGGGGGACTTTACAATAACTGAATCCTCTCTGTCATCATCAAATGCTTTAGAATCTCCATCCTCAGCCTCTAAAGATCATCAAAATCCTCCTCAATCCCCACCACCCGATCTTCTTAGCATTTGAAGTTCGGTGTTGCGTGTTTCATCTTAGTTCCCACGGTTGGTGATGGCTTATCCATTTCGTTTTTTTTTTTTTTCTCTCTTCTGGGGTTGGGTTTTTGTTTTCTAACTGAAGGTGTTAATGTTAGATTATTTTAATGGTTTTGTACAGTAGGATTGGGGGTGGGTATTTTCTTATTAAGTCTCTGTCTTCATCTTGTAGCTCTACTTTTAATTTTTATCTTACGGCTGTTATTGCACTGAACCTACGCCGAGGGAGGGTTCAAGGGATAGTCATATTTTTATGGGGATCAATGACAGATAGTGAAAGGGACACAATGACGCAAAGGGGTTGGGTATGAACTAACTATGAAACAGACAAACAGTGGGTATATTGTATGGTTTAGAATATTATTGATGAATCCTGAGTGGATTGGCGCAGAGTATGAACTGTGAGCCTGAACTGTGACTGTGAATCTACCAGTCAGGACTTCAGGTGTGGGATTACCTTATCTCAAGTAGTTAACTTGTTTCAAGAAAATCGGAGTGAATCCGGCATTGTTTACCTTTAGTTCGTTGTTCATGACGTGAAGCTTTTACAGAAGTACAAAACTTTTTTTTATCTAAACTAAAAGATAAAAGTAAGTCAAGTGAGCACGGGACTTTGTGGCCTTAAAAAGGATAGAAATTTTTCTCTTGTTAGATAGCAAAAGTTCAAAACTGGTGGGGATAACGAAAAAGAACGATATTGTAATCTATTTATATATTGTATATTCAAATGTTAGTGTTAAACCCACTCAAACTGTGGTTGTGGACCACAGTGACAGTGCTTAGAACGTATGGTAGCTGGCTGGCGTTGATATAATCCCAAGAAAAAGAACTATGGCCATTGAACTTTAGTCTAACCCTGCAGAAAGGGCTACAGGAAAGTATCCACGTGACAAAATATTATTTTGTTATGCACTGAGTTGTCGTATTTCACCTCGTACAATAAAGTGTTCCTATTTTTTTGAATAAAGATTGACCGGTGGTTTGTCGTAGGAGATTCACTTTTATCTTTGTGTGTGTCCAAACCCTTCTTTGCTTATATTGTTCCCCAGTTTTCCTGTGCAGAGAATGGGTTACTTTGGTTAGAGTTAAAAGGAAGTAAGGAGCATGGTTTTTTAGGACACGGGGTTGGTCATATATATTATAACAAAGGGTTCGTTCGAGTCTTGTAGCGTGTTTGGACACTCGTTGAGCAGTAATTACTTCCAAACATGTATTGTAAAATACCAAATCACTATTTGTTTTCGGCGATAGAGAAACGCAAGGGTCCACTCATAAAATGCTACTGATTTTATTACTACTATATTTTACTTCATTAATAATATTTATTTACTTAAATTTATTAAAATATTATTATAGATTGAGTAAATATATTATTTTCTAATAATTTTTCTGAAAAATATTTTTATAGATATAGTAACATTTTTTTTATTTCAATAGTATTCTTTTTAATTGTTTCTAATTAAAGTTGTATATCAAATTAAAAAAAATGTCACATTAAAGATACATCTCTCTAACATTTAATTATTTCTTAAAATTAAAATTTCACATCGAATAAATGAATCACATGTAAAAAAATATATGTAATTAAATAGCTATAATTAAGGTAAATGAATTTTGATATGAAATATAGATTTGGTAGTGACTACAAATGTGTTCAATCTTAAAGAACTTGAAAGATACTAAAAACCATAAAATATAATTAATAATATTTATATTAAAATTAATTATTATTTTAATAAGTTAATATTTAAATATTACAAAAATATTACTTTAGAAATATTTGAATAATATTGTCTAATTATGTAAAAGTATTACTAAAAGTTTTTAACAATTTAGATTATATACATTCGTGAAAGTAAATTAATAACATTTACATGTAATTAGTTAACATTTTTTAAGTGTTGTCAAATTTTATTTTATTTTTTTGTTGTAGTGTATATCCACGATTTTGTGTGCTACTACATTTGTGATGGGATGGGGTGAATGTTCATAGGTTGGGACGATTGATTTTTGCAGCAATATGTAGGGAA